AACCCATATAACTCTAATCCATCTAACCCTAACCCATCTAACTAACCCATCGAAACCATCTAACCCATCTAACTAACCCATCTAACCCTAACTCATCTAACCAATCGAACCCATCTAACTAACCCATCTAACCCTAACCCATCTAACTCTAACCCATCTAACCCTAACCCATGTAACCCTGACTTCAACTACAGTACATGACAAATGTTTGTCGTAAAATATTATTTCAGATGTAATCAACAGAGTAAACAGGAAGTGCAACTGAATGAAATGATTTAAGTTTAAACTAATACACTTGAAAAAGCTGCATCATGAAAACATTTCATTATTAAGAAAACTTAAGATATTAGTGTAAAACATGTTTCAGTTAAAGTTTATTTATTTATTTCAAGCAGCTGTCGGAATTTTTATATTAAAATATGTAAAATTACTCTGAACATCCTGATGTGAATGTACTGATATTATCTTGATGTGTAATAAAGTAAAATCATTCTGAATATATCACTTTCTGTGTTTATGTTCCTGTGAAATATTTTATGATGTCCTGCCAACAGTGTGTGTGTGTTCGTGTTCTCAACCCTGCTGAGGACCATCTGACACACACACACTTTGATGTGCCTGCAGATAGAGATGTTGTTTCCATGACAACCAAATGAGGAAAACGATGATTAATTTAGAGACCTTTTTCTCCTCCATCTGTTTCTTCTTCATTTCTTTGTGTCTCATTCAGACTGAAACATCTTCTCATCAACTCTTGAGTCTCTTTAATAACTTTGATCAGACGGGAAGTTGATCGGTTAGACTCCACAGCGTAGTGTCAGCACTAACAATATAATACAATAAAACATTATATATACAGCGGGTAAAATAAGTATTGAACACGTCACCATTTTTCTCAGTAAATATATTTCTAAAGGTGCTATTGACATGAACTATTCACCAGATGTCGGTAACAACCCAACTAATCCATACATACAAAGAAATGCAAACAAATTAGTTCAGAAATTAAGTTATGGGTAATAAAATGGAATGACACATGGAAAAAGTATTGAACACACTTACTGAAATATATTTAATACTTCATACAAAAGCCTTTGCTGGTAATGACGGCTTCAAGACACCTCCTGTATGGAGAAACTAGTCGCATGCATTGCTCAGGTGTGGTTTCCCAGGTTGCTCTGATAGTGGCCTTCAGCTCTTCTGCATTGTTGGGTCTGGCATTTCGCATCATCCTCTTCACAATACCCCATAGATTTTCTATGGGGTTAAGGTCAGGCGAGTTTGCTGGCCAATTAAAAACAGGGATACCATGGTCCTTAAACCAGGTACTGGTTGCTTTGGCACTGTGTGCAGGTGCCAAGTCCTGTTGGAAAATGAAATCTGCATCTCCATAAAGTTGGTCAGCAGCAGGAAGCATGAAGTGCTCTAAAACTTCCTGGTATATGGCTGCGTTGACCTTGGACCTCAGAAAACACAGTGGACCAACACCAGCAGATGACATGGCACCCCAAACCATCACTGACTGTGGAAACTTTACACTGGACCTCAAGCAACGTGGATTGTGTCTCTCCTCTCTTCCTCCAGACTCTGGGACCCTGATTTCCAAAGGAAATGCAAAATTTACTTTCATCAGAGAACATAACTTTGGACCACTCAGCAGCAGTCCAGTCCTTTTTGTCTTTAGCCCAGGCGAGACACTTCTGACGCTGTCTGTTGTTCAAGAGTGGCTTGACACAAGGAATGCAACAGCTGAAACCCATGTCTTGCATACGTCTGTGTGTAGTGGTTCTTGAAGCACTGACTCCAGCTGCAGTCCTCTCTTTCTGAATCTCCCCCACATTTTTGAATCGGTTTCGTTTCACAATCCTCTCCAGGGTGCGGTTATCCCTATTGCTTGTACACTTTTTTCTACCACATCTTTTCCTTCCCTTCGCCTCTCTATTAATGTGCTTGGACACAGAGCTCTGTGAATAGCCAGCCTCTTTTGCAATGACCTTTTGTCTCTTGCCCTCCTTGTGCAAGGTGTCAATGGTCGTCTTTTGGACAACTGTCAAGTCAGCAGTCTTCCCCATGATTGTGTAGCCTACAGAACTAGACTGAGAGACCATTTAAAGGCCTTTGCAGGTGTTTTGAGTTAATTAGCTGATTAGAGTGTGGCACCAGGTGTCTTCAATATTGAACCTTTTCACAATATTCTAATTTTCTGAGATACTGAATTTGGGATTTTCCTTAGTTGTCAGTTATAATCATCAAAATTAAAAGAAATAAACATTTGAAATATATCAGTCTGTGTGTAATGAATGAATATAATAGACAAGTTTCACTTTTTGAATGGAATTAGTGAAATAAATCAACTTTTTGATGATATTCTAATTATATGACCAGCACCTGTATATATCTCTGACCTGTCTGACCTCTCGAAGGTGATACTCTGACCCAGATCGACACGTTTCTTGTTGCATGACAGGAGGTGAAGGTCAGGCTGCTGCTTCCCTGATGAAGGATGCTTGTGTGTGTGCACTGAGGTACACACACTCTAACTGACACACACTAGCTCACACACTCTAACTCACACACTCTTAACAGACACAAACACTCACTCACACACTCTACTCCTAGTATTTACTACATACTGCTGAGGAACGCAGTAGTAGCTATGTATATTACATGCTGCTGCGGAACACCACCCCTGATGAAGACGCTAGAGAGGCTGGTCCTTGTACATCTCCGCCCCTGGTGAGCTCATCTTTGGACCCACTTCAGTTCGCCTATCAATCTGGCATCGGGGTGGATGACGCTGTCACCTACCTGCTACACAGATGCCTTTCTCACCTGGAAAAGGCTGGAAGCACTGTGACAGTCATGTTTTTTGATTTCTCCAGTGCCTTCAACACCATCCAGCCTTTGCTTCTGAAGGACAAGCTGGAGCAGACCGGAGTGGACCACCACCTCACCGCATGGATCTTGGACTACCTCACCAACCGTCCACAATATGTGTGGATACGGGAATGTGAGTCTGACCTGGTGGCCTGCAGCACGGGGGCCCCACAAGGAACTGTCCTAGCTCCATTCCTCTTCACCATCTACACCTCGGACTTCAAATACAACTCTGCAAACTGCCACCTGCAAAAGTTCTCTCATGACTCTGCAATCGTCAGCTTCTTGTCCGCTGGTGATGACGGGGAATACAGGGAACTGAACCAGGACTTCATAGGATGGTGCCAGTGGAACCGCCTCCAGATCAACTCTGGTAAAACCAAAGAGCTGGTGGTGGACTTCACTCTCCTCCGGTACCAGTAGAATAAACATTGAGATTGTGAGATCTTATAAGTACCTTGAACAATAAACTGGACTGGACTGACCACACTCATGCACTTTACAAAAAGGGTCAGAGCAGGCTATCTGCTGAGGAGACTCAGGTCTTTTGGAGTGCAGGGAGCTCTCCTGAGGACCTTCTTTGACTCTGTGGTGGCATCAGCCATCTATCTTCTATGGAGTGGTCTGCCGGGGCAGCAGCATCTCGACAGCCGACAGGAACAGACTCAACAAACTCATCAAGAAGGCAGCAGTGTGCTGGGGTGTCCACTGGATACGGTGGAGGTGGTGGGAGACAGGAGGATGATGGCTAAGCTATCATCCCTGATGAACAACACCTCCCACCCCATGTGGGACGCCCTGGCAGCTCTGTGCAGCTCCTTCAGCCACCGGCTGATTCACCCCCGGTGTGTGAAGGAGAGGTACTGCAGGTCCTTCCTTCCAGCTGCTGTCAGGCTGCACAACCAGCTGTGCTCCCAGTAGACCACACAACGAATCTGTGCAATACAAACAATTATTCTGTCTGCATATATCATATTTTTAGTTATATTTACATTTTAGTTAATATTCCTTACTGTTTATTACTTATTTAATATTTTTTAATACTTGTTTTTGATACATTGTTTTTTACTATGTCTCTTGTTTGCACTATCCACTATGCTGCTGTAATCCTGTAAATTTCCCCACTGTAGGACTAATTAAGGATTCATTTTTCTTATCTTATCTTAGTATGTACCATAGTACATGCTGCGGAGGAACGCAGTAGTATGTATAGTACATGCTGCTGAGGAACGCAGTACTATGTAGTATAGTACATTGTCAAGTAGAGTTGAGATCCCAGAAGAGCTGCCTTACAGTTAAAGGAATAAAAGTACGGACTAAGAAGATCAGGCGAAGAACAAAGAGCATATATGTTTAGAAGAGTATAATCCAATAGTCAATTTATGGATTTATGGATTGTGAATTAAAGTGAAATGATTTAAGTGATTTAACAAACTGTAAAGTGATCATAATAATGTGTCTGTTGACAACGTTCAGAAAAGGGATCATAGTGTGTGTGTGCTGGACAAAAACAACTGGTTGCAGAACGGTATGATGAAATCATTTAGGGACGGTCAAAGTGCTGCTGTAGGTGTCCTAATCTTACCGGAGTAGAGCAGAGAGTAAGTAATGTTCTGATTAACCAAATAATTACTGTATATCCTGTTATATCATAATGTGTTTGTGTAAAACTCAATACTATGACTAAGAGTCATGTGCCAAGGATGAGAGAGCTGGAGGAAGGGGGGGGGGGGGGGGGGGGGATGGCCCGACAGGGCAATATATTGAGTGACTTGTAAAATCAAGTTGGGATTCGACGCAGGACACCGTCCAGTACTTGGCTGAGACCACTGGACATTGTTCGAGAGAAGCATCGGAGGACTCCGTCTCTATTCACGGCAAGGAGAACGCTGTTCGTGAGCAAGAATTGTCAGACAGAGATTTTCCTCTCCCCCGTGCTTGAAACTGGATAACAGAGGAAGCCACATTCTGACTTTGTACTCATTAGAGGAAAGCTGCCATTAACTGACGTGACTGATAGCTGATCTTGGCCAGAGGGCCTCTCGGCCTAGTGCAAGTTACCGGAGGAAGCAGGGTAGACGTCAGAAGTTACGGTAGTGAGCAAAGCCAGGCAAGTTTCCTCGACCCTCCCCCCCCCCCCCCCCCCAGCTTATCATCCTTTTATAAGAGAGCTGAGTTAATAGTTAGCCCGGTATGCAGTAATATGTTCTATAGTACATGCCGCTGAGAAACGCAGTAGTATTCTATAGTACATGCCGCTGAGGAACACAGTAATATGTTCTATAGTACATGCTGCTGAGAAACGCAGTAGTATGTTCTATAGTACATGCCGCTGAGGAAGGCAGTAGTATGTTCTATAGTACATGCCGCTGAGGAACACAGTAGTATGTTCTATAGTACATGCCGCTGAGGAACACAGTAGTATGTTCTATAGTACATGCCGCTGAGGAAGGCAGTAGTATGTTCTATAGTACATGCCGCTGAGGAAGGCAGTAGTATGTTCTATAGTACATGCCGCTGAGAAACAGTAGTATGTTCTATAGTACATGCCGCTGAGGAACACAGTAGTATGTTCTATAGTACATGCTGCTGAGGAAGGCAGTAGTATGAACTAGTACATAGGCTGTTTCAAATACTGACACCATCAGCAGGAGGTTCTTGTTTCCACTTGGCCGATTTTTGGCGTTGATCAGAAAAGAACGAGAGAGAGGAGAGGGAGGGAGGAGGAAGAGCAGAGAGAAGAGGGAGGGAGGAGGAAGAGCAGATAGAAGAGGGAGGGAGGAGGAAGAGCAGAGAGAAGAGGGAGGGAAGGAGGGAGGAGGAAGAGCAGAGAGACCAGAGGGAGGGAGGAGGAAGAGCAGAGAGAGGAGGAAGGGAGGAGGAAGAGCAGTAGGAAGAGGGAGGGAGGAGGAAGAGCAGAGAGAGGAGGGAGGGAGGGAAGGAGGGAGGAGGAAGTGGAGAGAGACCAGAGAGAGGAGGGAAGGAGGAGGAAGAGAAGAAAAGAGACAGACACAAAACAGATGAACAGATAACCAGATTAACAGATAACCAGGTTAATTAAAAACAGTGAACGTGTTTGACACAGATGGAGTCTGAAGAGAACCTGCTCAACGTTTTTCTGCTGCTGCTGATTGGATCACACTTCACTGTGGTGAATATATAATGTTTCTATTTATATTCTACTGTGTTTTGTTCTCTTCTACTGCCTTCTGTTCTATTCTACTGTCTTCGATTTATATTCTACTGTCTTCTGTTCTATTCTACTATCCTCTATATATATTCTACTGTCTTCTGTTATATTCTACTGTCTTCGATTTATATTCTACTGTCTTCTGTTCTATTCTACTATCCTCTATATATATTCTACTGTCTTCCTTCCTATTCTACTGAATTATATTATAATCTACAGTCTTCTGTTTGTATTTTACTGTCTTCTGTTTATATTCTACTGTCTTCCTTCCATTATACTGTCTTCTGTTCTGTTCTACTGTCTTCCTTCCTATTCTATCGCCTTCCTTCCTATTCTACTGTGTTATGTTATAATCTACTGTCTTGTGTTCTATTCTACTGTCTTCCTTCCTATTCTACTGAATTATATTATCTAGTGTCTTCTGTTTGTATTTTACTGTCTTCTGTTTATATTCTACTGTCTTTTGTTTGTATTCTGCTGTCTTCCTTCTTTTTTTACTGTCGTCTTTCCTATTCTACTGTCTTCCTTCCTATTTTACTGTCTTCTGTTTTATTATGTCTTCTTTCTATTCTATTGTCTTCTGTTTCTATTCTACTGTCTTCTGTTTGTATTCTACTGTCTTATTTCCTATTCAACTGTCTCCTGTTCTATTATACTGTCTTGTTTATATTCTACTGTCTTCTGTTCTATTCCACTGTCTTCTGTTTCTATTCGTCTGTCTTCTTTCCTATTCAACTGTCTCCTGTTCTATTATACTGTCTTGTTTCTATTCTACTGTCTTCTGTTTCTATTCTACTGTCTTCTTTCCTATTCTACTGTCTCCTGTTCTAATCCACTGTCTTCTGTTCTATTCTACTGTCTTATTTTCTTTTCTACTTTTTTTCTTTTCTATTCAACTGTCTTCTGTTATGTTCTACTGTCTTGTGTTGTATTCTGTTACATCACGGCTAATCCAACTTGAATTTTATCAGGACAACTCATAATGTGGCTTAGTAGTGTGTTTGGCCCCCTTAAAATATCTGCCTACAAGAACTGCCTACACACTCTGGCCACAGAAGGCCGAGTATTGAACCCAGGGTCCTCTGCATCAGTAGGAACCCAGGGCCCTGTGTACCAGGAGGAACCCAGGCCCCTCTGCACCAGGAGGAACCCAGGGGCCTCTGCACCAGGAGGAACCCAGGGCCCTCTGCACCAGGAGGAACTCAGGGCCCTCTGCACCAGGAGGAACTCAGGGCCCATTGTACCAGGAGGAACCCAGGGCCCTCTGCACCAGGAGGAACCCAGGGCCCTCTGTAACAGTAGGAACCCAGGGTTCTCTGTACCAGTAGGAACTCAGGGCCCTAACAGCAGTCAGGTTCACCTGGAGGTTTGTGAGACCCTCCGAGGATCCCCAGACCATCACTGACCAACCACCAAACCGGTCCTGCTGGATGATGTTCTAGGCAGCATTACGTTCACCACAGCGTCTCCAGACTCTTTCATGTGCAAATTGTGAACCTTCTCTCATATGTTAAGAGAACGGGGTTCCAATGGAGAACCTGCCAACTCTGATGTTCTCTGCCAATGGAGCAGCACGGTACTGGGCTGTGAGCACAGGTCCTCATGGAGTCTGTTTCTGACAGTTTTGTCAGAAACATCCACACAATACGCCGCTGGAGGTTATTTGTAGAAACCTCTCACGCTACCAAAGTGCCGAGGACTCCAGCAAACTGCAAACCTAGAGAAACGTCATCCAGGAAGGATAAGAGGAGAGAAAACCATTCTGTTTTTGGGGTGTTCTTGGTGTTTATTCTGTTCACATGATGTCGCTCGCAGGTCAAATTGATTCACAATCGCTTCCTAACTGGACATAATATTTTTAATGAAGAATAAAGCAATTTAAAAATATATTTATTCTTTGTTTGGAGAAAGAAAAGGCATTTATTTTATTATAAAAAAAAAAAAAGACAATTTATAGTCAATGGTCTTAGATGTATGGTTCTTTTTTCTAATAACAATAATAAATGTCTGTAATTAAACTTTTCTTTTGTCATTTTATCTCATAATTTTGTTAAAAATAAAAGATTTCATGGATTAGGGATATTTCTTGAAACATTACATAAATAGATGTTAATTATGGTTGATTTACTTTTCTTTTCTTTTACATTGTATCAATGTTTATTTTTTCTGGCACTTATCCAGCACTTCTGCTGCCAGAAAAGTTCCTTTTTTAAATGTAACATTTGTTTTACAGCGAGTCTACTTCTCTCTGTCTTTGATTGATTGATTGATTTAAGTTAATGATTGGAAACACAACTCTGCACAGAAGTAGTTACAGTCATCAACAGATTTATTAAGCTGATTGTCCTCTGACTTCCTGTCGAACTGAATGTGTTCTACTGCTGGTTTGATAACCCCACTTCAACACCCCCCAACTGCCTCCTTCTCATCTCTACCAACCGACCCCCCACCGGCACTGAGGATCTGCAAAGAGGATGTGAGTCGGCTCTTTCACAGACAGAAGATCAGGTAGGCTCCGGGCCCAGACGGTGTGTCCCCCTCCTGCCTGAAAGTCTGTGCTGACCAGCGGGCCCCCATCTTCACGCAGATCTTAAACTGATCACTGGAGCTATGTGAGGTCCCCTCTTGCTTCAAACACTCCACGATCATCCCGGTCCCCAAGAAATCCTCCATCACAGGATTAAATGACTACAGGCCCGTCGCCCTGACGTCTGTGGTCATGAAATCCTTTGAGAGACTGGTGTTGACCCATCTGAAGAACATCACAGGGCCCCTGCTGAACCCGCTGCAGTTTACCTACCGTGCAAACAGGTTGGTGGATGATGCAGTCAACATGGGACTGCACCACATGCTGCAACACCTCGACTCCCCAGGGACATATGCAAGGGTTCTGTTTGTGGACTTCAGCTCAGCGTTTAACACCATCATCCCGGAGATACTCCAACCCAAACTCTCCCAGCTCACTGTGCCAGCCTCCACCTGTCAGTGGATCACAAACTTCCTGACTGACAGGATGTGTGCTCTCCCCACTGCTCTTCTCCCTCTACACCAACGACTGCACCTCAGAGGACCTGTCTGTTAAACTCCTGAAGTTCGCAGACGACACAATGGTCATCGGCCTCAGGGACGGTGATGAGTCTGCGTACAGGCGGGAGGTTGAACAGCTGGTCCTCTGGTGTGGTCAGAACAACCTGGAGCTGAACAAGCTCAAAACAGTGGAGATGACAGTGGACTTCAGGAGGAGCCCCCCAACACTGCCCCCCTCACCATACTCAACAACACTGTGTCTGCTGTGGAGACCTTCAGGTTTCTGGGATCCACAATCTCCCAGGACCTGAAGTGGGCTCCCAACATCAACAACATCAGGAAAAATACCCAGCAGAGGTTGTACTTCCTGTGCCAGCTCAGGATGTTCAACCTGCCTCAGGAGCTGCTGATTCTGTTCTACTCCACCATCATCCAGTCTGTTCTCTGCTCTTCCATCACTGTGTGGTTTGGATCGGCCACCAAACAGGACAGAAACAGACTACAAGGACTGTCAGGTCTGCATAAAAAATCATTGGTGCCAGCCTGCCCTCCATCCTGGACTTGTACACCTCCAGAGTCAGGAAACGGGCTGGAAACATCACTGCAGACCCTTCACACCCTGGACACAAGCTGTTCCAACTCCTCCCGTCTGTTAGGAGCTACAGGGCTCTGTACGCCAAAACCACCAGACACAGGAACAGCTTCTTTCTGCTGGTTGTCACTCTGATGAACAATTAATCAGACATACTGCACAATTACCTCTGTTTGCACTATCCCCTCAATTCCATTGCCATTGTTGTTTATAGGTTTATGTTCAGATATATATATATATATATATATATATATATATATATATATATATATATATATATATATATATATATATGTTAGTGCTGGGCAAGTTAACGCGTTATTACTGCGTTAATGCATTAATTAGTTAACGCCGACAATTATATTATCGCGCGTTAACGCAGTTTTTATTATTATTATTAGGCGGACATTTTTAACACAAGAACTGGGCAGCGAGCAGTGAACAGCTGTTTGTGTGGCGTCACTTCTTTCTGCTGCCACTCTCCCCCCACCAGGTGACATGCCCGATCCGGAACCCCTCCTACACTCTGTCACCGTCGGTCCCTCTTGTCTCACAAACACACACGCGAGCGCACAATCGTGCCGTTGCAGGATCGTAACAATATTAAAATACATATTGTTGTGTTTTTAAATAAACATAAGCACGAGAGAACAAACTGCTCTTAACTCAACTCTTTATTAGCATAACTTCCTCATGCAGGTTACTGCCACCGTACAGACTACAGGTTCATGCTTCACCTACAGTCCCCTGGGTCCTAAGTCCCTCCATGTACGATAATCAGCGTTGCATATGTGTCTGACCAAAATACCAAAAAAATAAAAAAATAAATGATTCATTTAAATTATTTTTTTGGAGTTTTTAAAGTTTTTTTGTTTGTAATATGTATAATAAGCATCATTTAGTTATCACTACTGAGAATTTAACAAACATAAAAAAAAAGAAAAAACATGACGTAGATAGGTTTGCAGTTTTCAAGGTGTATATTTCAAATTGCATCTATTACACACATGAAAATAAAGTTATGAACACCGGCTGAATATTTATTATCAGAATCATTATAACTGTATTATAACTGCTACTGTGTAAAGGGAATACTGCTGTTAAAAACAACCTGATTTGTTTAAAGTGTTTGCAAACCAAATGTTATTGCACTTTTGTTCATATAGCAGTACTTTTAAAATAAAAGTGCGCAATACACTACTTTCAAATTCATTATTGAACTTTGCGCATAACAATGCGATTAATTGCGATTAATCGCAAAAGAATAATGCGATTAATCGCGATTTAAAAATTGTTTTACAAATTGTAATCGTTGCCCACCACCAATATATATTGATATATTATACTTATATCGTACATACGTAGTTGTTAAATGTTTATACCTACATCTGTTCTACTTTTTTTTAATGTTGCCCTTGTTTTATTTTTTATATATATTTTTTTCTTGTTTATTGTAAACTTGTGTATGTACATGGAGAGCGAAGTGGAAACCAGAGTCAAATTCCATGTATGTGTACGCATACATGGTCAACAAAGCTGATTCTGATTCTGATTCTGAATAGGTGGGTCCTTCTGCCCCCGAGGAGGGCTGGCAGGTGTACAGTTCAGCCCAGGACTCTGAAGGTCGATGTGTTTGTACGGTGGTCGCTCCTCAGCAGACGGTCTGCTCCAGAGATGCCAGAACCAAGCAGCTGAGACAGCTGCTGGAGAAGGTACCAATTACTGCTTGTAACAATGCTATTAAAATACTACTACTACTTCTACTACTACTGCTGCTACTACCACTACTGCTACTACTACTGCTACTGCTACTACTACTACTAATCCTACTAGTACTACTACTTCTACTACTACTAATAACAATAATAACAACAATGCTGATTACACTACTGCTGAGTCGCTCTTCTCCAAATCCACGATTAAATCTTATTCATGATGTGAAGTGATAATTATTTTTTGATTTAAACTTTTGTTGATTTTTAGCACTGACTTTAGAGTTTTGATTCGAAGGTCAACAGATCAACAACATTTAAATATTCAAATTCTTCTGTAGAAAAGGGTACGTGGTATATTTATTTATTTGGTAACTTCAGGGAATGATGAAGATTTTTCAGTTCTGTTGTTTCTGGCGGTGTGTTTGTGTCTGTAAAAGTGTAGCTGGTGGAAAGAAAAGAAACAACTCGGAGAATCATCCTGTTTGACTTCTAGTGGTCAAAGTGGAAAATATCATTTAAATCAATAGAAACTGTGATATTCTTACTGCTGATACCTCTGATTCTATTATCAGATAACCTGAGAGTAAAGTTTATCATAAAGGTACAAACAAGTGTACAACACACACACACACACAGATTAAATGTTGTTAACTGTTCTGTCTTCACTGTTGTTGTCGTTCTGTTAATGTATTGTCTTTTGTACTGTCTATATATATTTAATATTAATAAAGATTATAAAGGTACATCCGCAGTAGTCACATAGTAATATGTGATATGATGTCATTATCTAGGTTCAGAATATGAGTCAGTCCATCGAGGTCCTGGATCAGAGGACTCAGAGAGATCTGCAGTTTTTGGAAAAAATGGAAGTTCAGCTGAAGGGTCTGGAAAACAAATTCAAACAAGTAGAAGACGGACACGAGAGCAACATCGCCAGACAGTACAAGGTACCTCCCACATCATGATATCATGGTTGACACTACCAATCCCCAACCTTCATGAAGTCATGTCACTAACTAACCGATTAACAACTCAGCAAAGCACTCTGTACACTATGAAGCTGTAAATTTCAACAGTAAGTTATCAGACTTAAGTAGACACAGGAAGTGATTCTCATTTTAAATGGGTTGTGGGAAGGTTCTTGTTCCACTTGCACTAAATTACATAAACACAATGAAAGTTTCTTTCATTTTATGCACGTAACTAAAGTGACTGTGTGTTGACCTGCAAATATTACTGTCAGATATCATCCTGTGACGCAGACGGAAGCTGCTACTCTGCTAACATGCTGCTCATGCTAACTTGCTGCTCTGCTAACATGCTGCTCATGCTAACTTGCTGCTCTGCTAACGTGCTGCTCATGCTATGCTATCACCCTCTCCATGTTGATTCTCCAAAACCTCAGTATTTTAAATATGTCTTATGAGTCCCAGAATCGGGACCTCAGCAACAATAGAGACATTGGTTAAAAACTGTTAAAGTGCAGCAGCAAAGAAGACACAGTCAGTTTGTCTGTTTCTCAAAGTCAAGGATGCTTCCTTCGGAGAATGCTTACTTCGGAGAATGCATCCTTTTGGACAAGACTCCTAGACTCCAGTCTAGAGAGAGAGCCAGTATGCAGAAAAAATGAATGTGGTATTTATTTTAAAATTAGATTAATTTAGACTAATTCCACACATTACAATTTCTAGTAAGAATATTGATTTTGCGTTCCTCAAAACCATAGATTCAAAATATGTTGACCAATTTTAAAAATCTTTAAAATTAACTAATTTAATAAACATACAATCAATATTCTCTTTTTAAAGCTACCAGACTCCTTTGAAAAACAAAATGAAAGTCATCAAAATCATCTTGGTTCTTCTTTCCACTGTTAATAAACCCTCAATTCACGAAGAGGTATATGCTTCTGTCTCTCTCTGACTTTGCCTAAGTGCTTTTAAAAGGTTGATGAACATGATGAAAACTAGAAAAATCTCTATAATTACGCCTTATGAGTGAATATTCAGCAACTTGATGATAAATTTTCGGCCTCACATTTGTTCAGAAACAGCTGATGACGGACTGCTGAGGTGAAATGACTGAGAGTTCACGAGCATATTATCCTGTGTGCTGAGTAAACTCACAGGCATCCATGAAAATCTGAAGGAATGACTCAGTCCTCGGTAGAATTTAAAGGGTCCTGAACATTTGAACATTAGCAGGATTCAATGAGGTAGCATCCTGGATACCTTGAAGGATATTTCCGGGCGGATGTTTAAGCTGGTTTGCTGCTTCATCTTAACCTTTATCTTCTCAAAGATACGAAAAACTAAATTAGAGTGATGCACGGACCACCTTCAGTTGAATGTGGACTTCTTTAAATGTCTGGACGGTTATTGATCTCTGCTGTCTGTTTATCAGTCCATCAAAGCAAAGATGGAGGAGTTGCGTCCTCTGATCTTGGTCCTGGAGGCCTACAAGGAGGACGCTCTGCTGGTCCGACAGTTTAAGGAGGAGGTGGCCAATGTTACCGAGCTGCTGGGATCACTGCAGGAACAACTGGGAGGTCTGGACTACCAGGAGCTCCACAGTCGAGTGATGGACCTGGAGGACCGCCTTAGGGCCTGCATGCAGAGGCTGGGTGAGTAAACAACAGAGGATTAAACAGATGCTGGGAAAGTGAAGGCGTTAAACACAGCATATTACAGAACACAGAAGCAAACGGAAAACAGGGTCCCATTGAACATTCGACATGTTCTCACAATCATAGAATATATTTTTGAAGTAGATGGCAGTCTCTCAGAAACCTGTTGACAGTGTTTCATTATTTTATCCACCCTGTACCTTCTTGTTCCTTTTATTTTGTCCTCCCTGTACCTTCTTGTTCCTGTTATTTTGTCCACCCTGTACCTTCTTGTTCCTGTTATTTTGTCCTCCCTGTACCTTCTTGTTCCTGTTATTTTGTCCTCCCTGTACCTTCTTGTTCCTGTTATTTTGTCCTCCCTGTACCTTCTCGTTCCTGTTATTTTGTCCATTATTGATGACATCATTATTTTCAGCCTGTGGGAAGCTGACAGGGATCTCTGAGCCAATCACCATCAAGACGTCTGGATCGAGGTTCGGCTCGTGGATGACCGACCCGCTCGCTCCTGCTGGAGACACGAGAGTAAGTCAACAAACACAACAATAGTTAATAATAATAATAATAATCTAAATCTCTGTAAACATCTGGATTCACACACAGAATAAACACTTGTGATATTTTAGAGATACAGTTCACTCCGTAGAGTTTTGACATATGTACTTTTTAATATGTACAGGACTTTGTAATGAAAGACTCTATCCAGGTGCATTATGGGAAAAGTAGGATCCAGTGGTTTTAGACTAAAACTTCTGTATGGAGGAGATACATGCTGATTATATGATGTGCATATGTATTATTAATGCTCATTATTATTTCAGTAATTATTTCCTCCAGATTGTAAAACGTCATAATTTTCAGACTGAGTGGAAACAGGAGATGAACCAGAAGAGTCCTGGATCTCCCTCTGAAGAGTTTAACTTTAGCTGAGTCTACAGTGTTTATTATAATGAAATATATAAGTATGTATAAGTATAATATGTATATAAATATCTCATTTGTATTGTTTATAGAACACAGTCTCGTGTCATCACATTGACACAAAACACAAATCTTTACACATTTTTAGAGTATTTGTGTTTCTTCCTCTCTAGGTGTGGTACATGGATGGTTACCATAATAACCGCTTTGTTAGGGAGTATCAGTCGATGAGCGACTTCATGACGACAGATAACTTCACCTCTCATCGCCTGCCTCACCCCTGGTCTGGTACTGGTCAGGTGGTTTACAACGGATCCATTTACTTCAACAAGTTTCAGAGTCACACCATCATCAAGTTCGACTTCAGCACATCGCTCATCAGCCGGTCCCGGCAGCTGGACTTCGCCGGCTACAACAACATGTACCATTACTCGTGGGGGGGGCACTCGGACATCGACCTCATGGTGGACGAAGGCGGGCTCTGGGCCGTCTACGCCACCAATCAGAACGCTGGAAACATTGTCCTCAGCCAGTTAAACCCAAACACTCTGCAGATCATCCGCAGCTGGATCACCAACCACCCGAAACGCAGCGCCGGCGAGGCATTCATGATCTGTGGAACCCTGTACGTTACTAACGGCTACTCGGGTGGAACAAAAGTGTACTACGCTTACTCCACCAACTCCTCCACCTACGAGTACATCGACATTCCTCTGACCAATAAATATAGCCACCTGTCCATGCTGGACTACAACCCCCGAGACAGAGCGCTGTACGCCTGGAACAACGGCCACCAAGTCCTTTACAATGTGACTCTGTACCACATTATACAGTAGCATTAACGTATCGGTTGAGGAACATCACGGGATAAAGACACGCTTTACAGAAACACTCAGAATCAGAGGATCAGATCTGTGTCCCCAGCTATATTAGCCTAGCTTAGCATAAACTGTTCCTTCAATGGAAATCAGGTGACTGTTGCATGTTTTTAGTGAACCAGTCCGTCCTGTAATCAACTGATTTATTTTACTGTTGAGTTCAAAGAGTTCAAAGCAACACCTGCACTCAGAGCTCAGGACGTTTGGGATGGTTCACCAACAAATAATTTAACAGTTAAAGCTGCTGAAACCACAGTGTTTCCATTTGATATTTACATTTTACACCTGTAAAATGTAACAACATGGAACTCAGAAGGCCTCAGATTTGTGCTAGTAGTTTCCCTTTGCTTCCAGTCTTTGTGCTAAGCTAAGCTAAACATGTCCTGTCTTTGTACTGGAATGTCTCCAAAGTGTTGGACTGTTAACTTTTATCTTAGGTCTTAGTTCTTTCATTAAATTAACACATTTTGGTCACCTGTTCTTTTGGTTAATGACCAAAGTATTTGACACAAAAGGTTTTGAAAAGTAAACACTGATCACAAAGAAATGAGAAATTATCTTTCACAAGAACAAACAGTGAAATGTTGAAATCATTTCATTGTGGATACTGAAGATGAGACTTTATATTCAGACTTACTGTTGTTACTCTGAAGTAATAATAATTATGATAATGTATTTTCTTACTGTTGAGTATTATACAGCGATAAATGTCTTTTCCAATAATTCCCTGTTTTTAAATCGAGTAGGGCTACCCCGACATCTTTCTGTTCACCTTTTCATGTGAAATCACATCTAACTCAAAGCATTATGGGAGATGATGTCCTGTGGGATCACTGAGCTGAAGCCACAAGATCATTCTACACACTGCTGTTGGTGTGTTTGATGTCATGATATTTAATCAGCAACTACATGTTAGTCTTATTTAAAAACTGTGTGTAGGATCCACACTTAAGAGTTCAGATTTGTAAAACCTTGTGTATTCCTGGCAATGCACAACTTCCTGTTCTCAATGGTCAACACAAAGGCCTGATGCTTCTTTATGTGGAATCAACTACAGAGATGATTGTTTTCACAAAGAAGTTGCATGTAAAGGAAATGTAAATGGATTACTCGGTTTTGGATTTTATCACCCAACCACGATGTAATGCTTGTATTTGTTTTTAACAAAAATAAAATAAAGAGGCCTAGGGTTCATACACATTTTGACCAATGGATTTCCATGACTTTAAACCAAATTTCCATGACCAAACATTTTGTGAAATTTCGGTGTATACATGAAAAAGTGAGAAAATGTAGTATATAAACTAACAATGAGAATTCCAAAGCATACAGTATACCTTAAATGACAAAAGAATGAGAGACAATAGTTTGATTAAAAGAATAAATGTTTATAAATATACTCTGGTTGACACTGACACATCAATAAGTGCTTTAGTAGGTAGCAGCATCCAGCTAGTGCACATATTGCTTTCCCTTTTGTAGTGCACGTTTCATTGAACCCTGTTACTGTATGGCTTAATATTAACTTCCACTGTTACTGTACAGCTGTTAGAATTGTGGCCTATCTTCTATTTGGGTTAGGGTCAGGGTCAGGATTAGGGTTTGGGGTTAGGGTTAAGGGTTAGGGTTAGGGGAAACGAGAAACTCTGGCTGCCTTTAGGCAGTCAGAGTGCACGGGCTCACAAATTTTAGGCCTTAACACATTTATTTCTTCAGACAGGGTTTGTATTATATATTTTTTGTTTTATAATTGGCAGGTGTCCTAGAGGAGGTGTCCTCATCCGAGGAGGTAAGTTTATTGTTTAAACGACTGGCTTTAATTAATTTGGTTAAGACCATATGGATAAACTGTGTTAAGTTTATTAATCCACTGTCTTTCTTTTGCCAGTCGCTGTCTATCTGACCACCAGGATCCTGACTCCAACCCCATGATGAGGAGATTTTCCCTCCCATGCTGTCTGAAGTGTTCGTACAGGTGAGTAACTTTATGAGTCTTATCAATCAAGTTCAGGTGTTGCTTCAGTCTTAAAATTAAACTGTTCTTGGTTTGCCCAATATACAGTTTTTTACAAACCATGCACTCGATACAATACACCAAATTCATTGACCCTGGCTTGGTCATATGCCACACAGGTGCACTCAGGTGAGTATGTTGATTCACTATGAATTTAGTATTTTTAAAGTGTCTGTTGTGCTTGTCTTTTTTATGTTTTCCGCCCAAGGAGGCATGTACTAGAAGATCTTTTATGTTTTTGTTTCTTCTAAACGCTGCTATGATTTTGAAATCCGAAAGGGATTCCACGTGGTCCTGTACCCTCTTAAAATTACTTTTAACCTTGGCGTTCAAGGTCCTGGAGGCAGGAGAAAAGGTGGAGACAAAGGGGACTAGATGGTGGTTGTTGTCCTCCCCCCTGGGTTTCAGGCCTAGTTGGTAGTCTCGCTGGACATCCACCTTAATCCCCCGGAGGAAGGACCTACTGTACCCCCAACGTCTCAGGGCCCAGAATAGGGTCCTTGTCGCCGACTCGACATCCCCCGCTACCGTACAAATCCTACGAAACCTTATTAATTGTGATTTCACAATTCCCCGGTAGGTGTGCTTCGGGTGGTAACTAGACTTATGTAACAGTGCGTGGGTGTCGGTCGGCTTAAAATACACCCTCGTTCCCAGGCTCCCCTCTCCATTCTTCCTCCTAACCAAGAACACCTCGGTATCCAAGAATTCAATTTTCTCTTGTTGTAAATTATATTTAACCGAGATAGAGGGATGATGGTTATTAAGGATTGAAATGAAATCCGAGAAGTCGGCCTTGGAATGGTTCCAAATCCCGAAAATATCATCCAG